CCTCCTGTTGTCGTTGATATTGCTGTTGTTTTTATTGTTGTTGTTGTAGTTTGCTGTCTCTTATTGTTTGGCTGCCATAAATTCTCTATTAGATTTGGTAGTTTGGTTTTTTTTTTTTTTATTTGTTTTTAGAAATGATATCATACATTTGGCCAGACTTTGATCGTTTGCTTAACTTACTTCACCGAACTGGAATAGCAGGAGTTTGTGTTTGGTTATAAAGGAGCGAGTTAGGTATCGTTTGCTGTTTGTCAATTCCAGTAGAATTGAAATAAACCTGCAATTAATCATGATTTGTTTGCTACAATCACAATAAAAATCATGTAACATATCACACAATTTTACTCTTTGTATGTCTAAAGACATTCAAAGTTTAGACAGTCGGTCGTTCGGACAGACACACATTGTATGAATGATCACATTATTATTTATATAAAAATTATTCTAAATACACTCGTTACATTGATTTATTGGCGACAATCAGACAATATCTGATTGGCGTCGATTTGAAAGAAACAATTGCAAAAAAAAAAAAAAAAATGTACATAAAAGTTTTGAAATGATATGGGGCGTGTTTATAAGTTGAAAAATTATTATTTATAATATTTTGTAATTTTTGTCCAGTAGTTAACTTTTAAACTTTACGTTTACGAGTAGCACTCTGGCGGTAAAAATATTTTGGGATTTGAAAATACATTAAATTTAACATCAATATTCCAGTTTTTGTTTATGACATTTGAGATCTAAATGTTAGAGATCTTTATAAGGTCTCAGAGGAGTACGTTTCATGTATGCCAGAAAATGGCAATACTGGGAACAAGATATTTATTGATGCCGACGGCATTATTGCTCCTATTTCTTCTATGAAAACGGTATTTCTAACGCCATCAAAGTGAAACCAAAAAACCTAAGACAATCAATTTCTGCTGTCCCAAACTAAACAAGGCCTCTGTCTGGACATGGCAGACAGCTCACTCCCATTATCTTATAGGGTATGATCTACAAAGCTGTGTATTTTAATTACGCCTTATACCAATAAATCGCAGAGTTAAAACAAATTAATGCTCTAAGAAAGATTGAGAGCAAAGTTTTGAAACGCCGAGAGCAACATCAAGGGTGTGGAGTATATCATTGATTCCCATGAGATACTAAAAGTTTCCAAAGATTTGTTACCTAGAGTAAAGTCACCGAAATGGTCAGTGCCAGTTGGAGTTGTCAGTAAGAGATTTAATTCTGATCCTTTGAGAAAGCTTGCGTCCTTGAATATTTAAAGAGTCCGTCCAAGACTACCTCTATGATTTTTGAGTTTTGTATCATGGAAATAAAACCACTTTTGATTGAGAGATATTGAGTGCGCCGATCTTACTTCCTTGGATCAAGCGTTAAATGTGGACTCCGAGGATATCGTAGCAATTAACATTAAATTCGTCGATGTTGACACCTCTGAAAAGGTGGTCAAATGGCTTGGATAAATTCAGAGCACCAATAATAGTGCTTTGATGCGGATGTTGTTGATTGTGTCCGTTGACGGTCCAGGAGTGTTATGCTATGCGTTTTCCTTAAGTCATGTTAGTACTTAGAAAATGCTCTTTTGGAGATACTAGTAGTAGGATTTCTAAAAGTTTTGCTCGTGAAGAAAGACCTTGAGTAGCGAGCATTTGTCTGGTTTTATAATGGCAATAAGTCGTTCAACTTTTCAGATATTTAAAAGAGTGACAAATTGGCGAACGGAGCTCTTGATTAGTTCGGTTATCGAAATGTGGAGTGATGTTTTTCAGAGCTACTGTTTCGAGTTTACCATTGACGGTTTGCTTTGGAGAATAAATTCTTAACTTCAAGGAAACTGAACGAACGAGTCTAAGAATCAGGGATGTAAAACTTAGTTCTTACTATACTAGTCTCATATAAGTATGTCCCTGGAATCCTTCATGATAATTATTGAAATAGTCTGATATGATAATAAAATCCTAGCAATTCGGCCGTACAGTCCCAAAATACCTATTTAACCTAGCCACCAACTGCCCAGCTGCCTAGGTATTTCAGCATGTGCTTGTCCTACGAGCATGTCAAACGTCACTCTATTCATTACAATGAGTCCTTCAGAAAGCTAGTCCAAAGGAGTCAATAAATGGCAGTGCACATTTTGGGGACTCAGCTCTTGCTAACATAGGGGACATTAATGAGACAACTGCCTTCACTCTCGTTTAAAAAGAGTACATTTGTGACGAGAGACGAATTAGAGCTAAACAGGTGGTTAGAAGTTGACCGAAATTACTGTCTATTTCGAACGCATTGCCTCCTTTTCGAACTGCTCGGTAGCTCAAATGCTGTTAAAGATCAGGATTTACGGGTTGAAATTAAAGCCACTATCTCCAGTGCTTATTGAGATAATCATATCGTGCTGGAAAGTGCAAGAGAGAAATAGAGAAGAGTGATCTTGAGACTTTTCTTTATAATAAGTGATCTTGAGACTTTTATTTTCAGAGTGGGGGCAGGAACTTTTCACATCTATGGTAGAAATACAAACTACAAGGAATGATAGGGCCGTGAACACTGTCCTAATAGATGACGTGATCTCAATCTACACTGATGGATCAAAGGCAAAAAGAGGCACGTGCTCGGGAATTTTTTCTGAAAAGCTGGATCACACTCCCTTGATGACCCTATCAAAATTGACAGATTACTTAGCTTTGAGTGAGACGAAGCTCAGGGGGTCAAATATAGAATGTCGAAACAGCTCTGTGGCCTACTCTGACAAAGGATAGGACTAGGACTCTCTTGTGTTTTAGTAGGAAATCACTGTTCACGGTCATAATTACTGGGCACTGTATGTTTGGACATATTATGTATGTCGGTACGTATGGGCTACTCACATTATAGCTACTTTAGTAGTTGTTTGGATGAGGAAGTAAAGGAATCCGTACAACACCTTCCCTGTGACTGCCCAGCCTTACAAGAGCACAGACTGGGTAGAGCTCTTTTCCATAATCTGAACTTTCTCAGAGATGCGTTACTAGTTGTTGTTGTTGTAACAGCTTAAACAATACAATTTTTAATCCGGGGTTTCTGTATTTAGGTCCGAGCCAAGAAATTGGACTACATCAATTAGCCCGATTCCATTGAGCTAAGTGTGGGCTGGACAGTTGAATGTGTGGTGGGTATCATTGGGACCCTGTCCACATGGTAGGCATATATTGGGTACGGCACGGTCTATGCGTGACCAGTAGACGTTCAGCCTGTTGCTCCAATCCGATCTCTTGTTTTCCGCGGCAGGTTCTTCTCTATTTCTGCTATGGGCGGTGGGCGACTTCCAAGAACGACATTCATGCGATAACCTGAAACCTCGGTATTGATTGCGTCTCAATGAATGTCGTTCAAAGCTGCTACATATACGAACTCCGATCTAAGGGATCTTGTACATTAGTCCTTCCTGACATGCCTCGGGAGAGCATCCAACTGTGTGATATTAAAGTTGGGATGACTCCTCCCGTTGACATCCCAGGAGGAATTGTTTAGTCAGCATTATGTTCCCTGACTGGGAGGACCTTCGTTTCCTCGTGTAGGTGGTGCTCCGAGGTTTTTTGCATGCAGCCCGTTACAGTCCGTAGGGTAGCATTTTGACAGCTTTGAATATATCCCCACTGGGTATCACTCAGTGAAGGAGAACATACTGAAGCTGCCAACAAGGTTTCCTTTGTCCATTCCCCAAGTGCTGCCGTCTAACGCTTTGAGGACCTTGTTTCTACTTCACAATCTGTGCGTAATGACTGCGGCATGAGCTGAGGAGGTAAACCGGCTGTCAAAGGTCACCCCCAAGATCTTTTGGGTGGTTTACAGTCGGTATTTGGGTTCCATTGGTTACGACGCCTAAACGACGCGTCACTAGTAAATATCATTGGTTTTATTAGAAGTACCGGCTGCTGCTCACGGGGGGACCACAGAAACCACGTAATCAACGAAATTAGGGAGGGAAACCATTCTCAATATAAGGGAATGATAATTCGAAGGATATCACAATACGCCACAAGGCCTCTGTGTGAACACGCTAACTAGCGAGCATCCCACGTAACTTAACCTATTTCGAGAAACCCACAAGTCTTCCCTGCTTTTAGCTTACGATTCAGAATGAGAGAGAGAGTGTAAGAACAAGAGAAATACTGCACAGATCTGCAATTATTACCAAGTAACTAGTAACGTGGCTAGTGCTATGTTACGGATCTGCTCTCTAGAATCTCCCTTAATTAATTTCCAAATCCCTTTTTAAATAAAAACACAAATTCAATTTATTTTATTTCAGTATTTATAAAATTAAGTTTTTATTTTTTATTTAATTTTTTTTGTTTGTTTTGTTTTTCCTTTCAATAAAGTTATGTTAACTTTTTTTTTTAATTGTTGTTTTTATTTTAACATTTGTTTTCTTTTTGTTTATGCTGCAGAAGTTTTCTTTTAATAAATATAATAGTTTTTATTAAAAAAAATAATAATAATTATAGTAAATATATAATATATGATGCAAAAAAACTAGTACAACTATTTTGTTTTTTTTTTTTTTTTTTTTTTTAATTTTAGCAAAATTATTTTTTATATTATAATACAAACATATAAAAAAGATAAAAAAAAATAAAACAATTTGGTGGAGATTTTTTAAATAAAAGTAACGGCTGTGGGGTGAAAATATTGAAGTTTGGGGGGGGGGGGGGGGGGGGGTGGTTGTAGGTTGTGTTTTTAAGGTTATGAATTTATGAGGAATAAATAAAAAAAGTTTTTTTTTTTGGGGATTCTTAAGAGGTTTAATATATATATTTTTTATAAGGCTTGGTTTTATATATATTTTAAAAACAAAATAATACAAGAATATAGAAATTAATATATAAAAAAAAATAAAAATAAATTGTACAATATTTAAGAACATTTTACAAAATAAAATTAAAAAAAATTAAAATTAAAAAAAAATAAAATAAAAATTATATTACAATTAAAATAATAATAAAAAAAATATTAACATATTTATGTTTAAAAAAAAATAAAATTAATACATTTAATTTTTTTCTTTAAGTAATTATTTGTTTGTTTGTAAGTAAGGGGGCGTGGTTTATTTGGGTAGCAAAAATGTTTTAAGGTTTAAAAAGTATATAAAAAAATATACCTAAAATTTAACATTTTCTTTTTATATTATTAAGCAAATTTTGTAAATTTCTTTTAATTATATTTTTAAAATATAATTAAGAAATATTTGTTTTTTTTTTTGTAATAAAAATATAACAACAATTTATGTTTTATGAGTGGATATGTAAGAGGGGGTAATGTGTAATGTGTTTTAAATGTTTATGATAATTTAAGGAATTTTGGTCTGCTTTTACTCTCTTTAAGCAGCCTTTTTTAAAAGGGCGTGGTTTTGAAAAAAGTGGGCGTGGCTTTGAAAAATGTGTGTTAAATGTGTTAAATTAGTAAAAACAAGTTTTTTTCTTTTTAAATTAATATTAATAATAATAAATTTTTTAAGTAAAATATTTTTTCTTTTTCTTTTTTAAACTTAAAAACTAAAGTTGCCATTCAGTCAATCAGTCGAAACTTTTGGGATGTGTTTCTTATTTATATATATATAAATATATATCATATTTTTTTTGTTAAAAGAAAAGTTATAAAATAAATTTCTTTTATTATAAAAACAAATTTTAGTAACTTTTTTTTTAAAGAAAAAAAGTTTTAATTGTTTTTTTGTTAAAAAAAAAAGATTTTTTTTATTACAAAAAAAATTCTTTTTTTTTATAAAAAAAAAATTTTCCCGCACAGTAGTTAACATTATAAAATTGTTCTTTTTGCTTAAGTGTTGTTGCTATATAAAAAATAAATAATTTAATTTAAAACCTACTGCACTGGTTTAGTTTTATTTTTAATTTCACGTATTTTGTTTAAGTGTATTTTTGTATATAATACCTAGAGATATATCGTTTTCTATATGCTTTTCTAAAGTATAAGTAAGTGTAGTTAACTCTCTAAATAAACAAAATTTTTTATATAATTTTTTTAAATTAGGCTGCTGTTGCGTCTATAACTAAATCTCTAGCTCTTCTAGGCTGTTGCTGCTGCTGCTGGGTTGTTGTTTATAAAGAATTTCTTTCAGTGTATTTAAAGTTTTATGGGTTTTTTTTAATTGTTTTTAGAAGACAAAGAAATAGTTTGCTGTTGTTGTTGTTGTAGTAGAAAAACTTAATTTTTTTTCTTTAGCTAAAATGTTTTTTTAAAACTTTCTCTCCAAAAAGTTAAATTTAACTTTTTTTGTTGTTTTACTCTCTCAAACAATTCAGCTGCTGACTGCTTTCTTTGGTTGTTGTTGTTGTTCTGCAGCCTGTTGATTGGTTCTTCGGTGATGTCTTCGGGGTCTTTTGCATTGTGAGGAACAGCATTCATCAATGACTGGCTCACTGCCGGGTTTCTCAAAAAGTTTTCTTTTCGAGCTAACTCTTGTTTGTTGGCAGGTGGAGCGTGAGCAACGTTTGCGATCACAATTGACTTTGGAGTCCTAGAAAAAAGAAAATTGGAAATTAGTTTCATTTTCACTTCAAATTCTCGGGAAAATACAAACTTACCTTGCATCTACATTTAATGCATTTCTGTTCACCATGAGACGCCAATACGGGATGCCATTCTTGTCCGTTCTCATAGATTTTATTGACTACCTTGCAGCCTCCTTGCTGTAAAATCTCCTCGGTGGAACGTACATTGGGTTTAGAGGAGGCTTGATCTTGCAAAACATTGGGATTATTGTTGCTACCCGAACGTGAGGATATTTTGCCTTCGGGACATACTTTACAGCAGGCTTTCTTGTCTGGTCTATAGGCATCCTTTTCCTTGCACTGTAGTGGTGGACATACCATGCGTGGACATCTGATTTCTAAAGTTAAAGCATCACAGGTGCAGGTGGTGCAGGTATCAAAGCCATTGGGTGGCAAGAATGGATGCCAAGTGGCTCCCGCCAAATGGAATTGATCACCCAAACGGCAGCCTCTTTTGCTATGATCCACTTCCTTGTTGGTATTCAAATTCTGAGGCACACACATGGCACAACATTCTCCCTCCAATTGCACCAATTCCTCATTGACTTTGCAGTGGATAATAGGACACTTAATGGGTTCACAGGTGGCGTGACCTCTTTGGCAGGCACACATTTGACAGGTATCTTCCGTACTGCGCCATTGTTCAGTTTCATCATAGAATCTACCCGAATGGAAACATTTCTGATCGGGTGTAATCAAAACATCATCATTACGATCTCCGGGTAAAAATACATTGGGTACATTGTTATCGGTATAAATGGGGAAGCAATGAGCGGGCACTTTAGTCGATTTCAATTTGCCTCTCAACAACAATTCCTTTTTATCCTTGGAATGTATTTCCAAATAGCAAACACTCGATTCTAACTTCACCAATTCATTAGAGGGCATACCCAAGACAAAACCTTCCATATAGGAACCATTGAATTCTTCCAATAATTTACGTGTTACTGGAGCGCCTATGGCCTCAATAGGTTTCTCTTCCAAATAGATTTGCAAGTCTTGGACATGAGATTGGAAACCGCTTAAAGTGATTTCATAGTGAAGATTACACTCATTGTCAATGGATAGCCAGGCCATGCCCATGGCATGATTGGGGGCTGAAACCGAGTTATCGGATCTTTTCAATAGAATAGGTTCAGCCGAATCACGGGCATCAGCCACAGGACGTGATACTAAACGGCCTCTAATCAAGCTAGTTTCATGTTCAATGGCTATATTAACACCCAAGTCTCCCGAGTACAATGATTCCACAACTTTGGGACCCAATTTGTCCACCGTACCAATAGCTTGATTGAAATTGAAACTAGGAGTCAAATCTTCCAACATGGTCTTCCTTTTACCCAAATCTTCAATCAAACTAATCTCAGGATGATCACGAGCATTAACCTGATCGGTTTCAATGTTATAGGCTAAAGAACCATCGGTATTAAGGAATACCCAAGCGAGGCCACTGCTTTTAGCTTTCGATTCTACATTATGAGGAGCCAATAAAGTCTGGAAGATTTCACAGGTGGTGCGGGTAACAATATGACCCTGGATGCGTAAATTGGGATTCTTTTTCGATTCAATGGTCAATAGCAATTTGCCACGAGACATTAAACGCAAGTTTTGTATAGAAATGGGAGAAGAGATTTCCAAAACATTGACTTCCGAGGAGGGTTTGCGTACTTTTTGCACCTCATCCAAAACAACCTCACGACGATCGGGCGATTCTATGCGTATGCTAACGGGAGCATCCATATATTCCTCGGGAGTAAAGACACCATTGAAAACCAAAGTCAAATGCATAGAGGAGGCAGCACCACTGCTGGTAGAAACTATGGCCGTGCCACCAGAACCAGACATCAATTCTGACTTAGAGCCGGGAGCAGGTTCCATAAGGGCACTAAATAACTCCGATTGTAAGGCAGTATATTTGCCAATCTTGCCAGCTAAAGCCAATTCAGTTTGGAATTTATTGCCACCCCAGAGTAAAACAACATGTAAACGTTCATCACGCAACAGACGTTTATAATCACGAGGCACACGACGCCATACACCACAAATTTTACCGGTAACATTTTGATAGATCGATTGAGGACCAGCAGGCAACTGCAATTGATGTTCTTCCAAAATAGTGCCGGCATCATCAACAAATTGTATGGCACGAGGACGATTAACTTTGGCCGAAGTATAAAAGGAATAATAGAGATTCTTTTTGTGGAACATAAAGCGACCAGTGGCCACTATATTATGAGGATTATGAGTGGTATACATGGCCTTCATTTCTTCGCCTTTCAAAAAGTGAGAAGTGCGACCAGTAAGGAGAGCAGCGAAATCTGAAAGTTAAGAACAAGGATAAAAGAATTATTGAAAGTTTGAGGAGATATATAAGAGAGAAAGAGACAGGGAGAGGGAGTATGAGTGATCGAATACTAACGTTTCATATTGCGCTCTTCTTCTTCAATTGGAGCCGGTGTATCTAAAGCGACATCGGTTTCTAGAAATATAAAGAATACGAATTATAAATTAGTAAAAATTAGTCATAAAAATGTCAACAGGATTTCGGAAAATAAATGAATCTGTTAAAATTTAAACAATTAACAGGAAATTTGTTTCCAAGATCACCTACAGCGTTATTGTTATAAGATGTTTCAAAACTCATTTATCGTTCAACAGTTTTGTCAAAAGAGAGTAAGCCTCAAAAAGAAAGTAAAGAGAAATAAAAAGAAAAGAAAAACTATGTGTGAATAGAGGAGTAAACCGATCAACCCAAATACTAACACAATCATCCCTACTGTGTGAGTGTGTCTACGTGTACGTGTCTTTCTTGGGATTCTTTTTTCTTTGTTAATGTTTTTTGGTCTTGCTGACATAATACCCCCTAACAAGTTACCGCCTTTCTACCAATACACGTGATCTTTCATTCTTTTAATGATCATCATTTTTTTTTTAAGGTTAGAAAAGGTAAAAATTTATTGTTACGGTTAGTAACAGTAACTTAATACGACTACAATGGTTGGAGTTTTTTTGTTTTTGGATTTTCTTTTATTGTACTGTAACACAAAACAACTTTAAAGAAAATCATGTTCTGGGTTTAATCTTTAAAATCTATATAATTCTCGGAAACAATTTATTTCATTGACAAGAAAAACATTTTTTTTTTTCATTCTTGTCAATCTTGAAAAATTCATTTCGTTTTCGGGTTAACATGAGAAATGTTACAAAAATGACAATAAAATGTCGTTAAATAATTAAATCTAGGAATTTATGAGGGTGTACCCAGGGAGTTATTGTTGTAGTAACTCTAAAAAGAAAATTTCGGTTATTTGAAAAAGTAACAATATTTAATAAATAATAAACCGGATTTCCTTTGTTGCTAAACAGGATATAAAAACATCTTTCACACTTTTGTAAGGAAATTCAAGGAAAATTTTGATTAAATTCCTTTAGATTTTCTAGAATTTTCTTCAATTATTTAACATTTTTTTTTTTTTTTTTTTTTAAACTTGATTTTTTCCCCCAATTATAGTTTATTAAACAAGTTGTGGCTTATTGTAGTTGGTATTTCCATAATAAACTGTTAAATTCCTTAAACATTGTAACCATGATTTATTAAAAGCCATTAAATGGTCAGGGATGGTTAAACTCTATTAACAAATAAGTAAATTTAACAAAAATTTCAATTATTGTACATTTGTTTCCTCATAAAACTTTAAAAATAATGAAAATTTTAAAAATTTTTTAACTTAAAACCATTTTAACTAAGATTTGAAAACCGAATACCGATTACTTTTGTTTAAATTGAAGAATTTTGTTTTCATTTTAAGTGCAATTTATTGCAATTAACTTTTTATAGAGATTTTAGTGGTTTAAATTAAAAAATTTCAAACTTCTGAACAAATGGTTACCGATTACTTTTCTTTAATTTAAGGAATTTTTATAAATTTTTAATTCCGTTTTATTGGAAATTATATCTTATATGGTTTAATGCATTTTTAAATTTAAATATTGTTAGTTTAACCACATGAATACCGATTACTTTTGTTTAAATTAAAGAATTTTGTTTTCATTTTATGGCCGATTTATTGCAATTAAGTTTTTATACAGATTTTTGTGTTTTAAAATGAAAAATTTCAAAGTTTTGAACAAATGGTTACCGATTACTTTTCTTTAATTTAAGGAATTTTTATAATTTTTTTAAGCAATTTTGCTTATAATAATTACTTATATGTTTTAAAGCTTTTTTTTATTACCGATGTTGTTGTTTTACTAACATGAATACTGATTACTTTTCTTTAGTTTAAGGAATTTTGAAAAAAAGTTAACCTCAATTTGTTTTAAATAATTTTTAATAATAAGTATAACTTAAAAAAATGCCAAATTATTGTTGTTTAAGAAATATGAATACCGGTTACTTTTCTAAATTATGAATATTTTAATAAAAATTTATAACAATCTAAAGTCAAGAGCCTTTATAATGTTGAAACAAGATTTAATATGGTTTACAAGCTATTTATATCTTAATGGTTACCGATTACTTTTTGTTATTTAAGGGAATTTTTGAAAATTTTTAGGTTTGATTTGTTTAAAATTTAATAAGAATTATTTTAAAAGTTTTTTTATAGAAAAATTTTTGCTTTTTCTTAGAATTTTTAATGGTTAATTTTTTATTTAAGAATTTTTTTGAAAATTTTCTTTAAAGTTTTATTAGTTTTTGTTTAGAATATACATTAGCATAATTAAAATTTCATTTTTTTAAAGTTTTGAACCTAATGGTTACCGATTACTTTTGTTTATTTAAGGGAATTTTTGAAAATTTTTTGTGATTTATTAATAATTAAAGCTTTTTAAGTTTAAGTAAAGCTTAAAAATTTATAATTTTAAGTAATTTTTAAAACTTTTAAAGTGATTACTTTTTCTTATTTGTGGTATTTTTTTATATTTTTACACACAACTTGTGTGGCTTAGTCACCTCCTGTGGTGTTTGGCCTTTGATTTTGTCTAAGTTGTAGAGAAACTTTTGCTTTAAATCTCTAAGGATTTATTAAGAAATTTTCTTTAAACATTGATTTATTTTTTTTTTTTACTTTTTTTCTTATAAAAATTGTTGAAATATTTGAAATATTTATAAAAATTTCTTTCTTTGTTGCAGGCCATTTAGCTGGGGAAACCTTAAACGGTAAGTTTAGTTTTATTTTTTTTGTTGCTATAGCTTTTATATAGTAATAAAAGGGAACTGGTTTGTGGGTTTTTTTTTCCAACATACTACACCTATTATTAGATGGAGTCTATAATTCTGGAAAAATTTCTTACAAATGTAAAGCAAATTTTCACTTTTTATAAGAATTTAAAAATTCTAAAAGAAAAAAAGCAGCATATAGATCAGTTTAGGCATGAGGCCTGACGATATGATGATGAAAATGATGAAGGTGCTTAGGCATTTAACAAAAACATGAACTCGTTTCCATAATAGTTTTATTTCAAAGTTTTTCTTATGCTTCTCTGCTATTATAAGTTTGAGAAAAAAAAAACAAGTTAAATCATAGCATATGCCTTAGCTATGTATGTGTGTTTAATATTTACAACTACTTGGCTAGGTAAGTGGTGGTGGCTAGATCGATCTAGTAGTTGGCCACAATTACTAAATATGACTAGAGTAGTAAAACTCCTTTATAAGCTAAAAATTGCAAAATCTATACAACAGAAAGAAAAAACAAAAAAAAAACACATCAAAAGAAGTTGAGTATTGCTAGGAACAACTAAACATAGTATTGCAGTTGAGTTACTACTACTGTGGCTGCTGTTGCTTGGCATCACACCAAATTTGGTTATGACAAAAATATGCCATATAAAACCAAAAAAAGTCATTTACTCTTTATAATTGAAAAATATGTATGAACAATAAATGGTCATTAAAAAAAGTGAACAAAAAAAAAAAAAAACTTAAATAAAACGAGTCAATGAAGCTAAAAATTCTTAAAATTATTGTCAACAACATATTTAAGGCCTCTTTAAACTAAAATTTTTCTTCTTGACTTGGTCTCATCATTGTCATCATTATCATTAAAATTTACAGCATGATGCCTCATCTTTATCATATAACTAACTACTTCTCTATATAGGCCCTAGCCATGACTTGTACAAAGTTATACTTAACATTTATAATTTATGCTGGACCCTATACCTTATTTTTTTCTTACTTCATTTAGTTCTTTATAATGACATAACTCGAGCATTTTAACGCTTATTAAATTATCTCATTTTAAGGAATTTTTTTTTAACGAAATGTGTTTTTACCTTTTCTTAGTCGAAAACAGCAGGAGTCCGGTACATTTTATGTGTTTTTGGTAACTAATCTTCTTTTCTCCCCCCCAAAAAAATCTTTTTTTTATTGATCTTTAACTAAAAACAAAGATAATAAAGGCGTCTTGAATTTTTCTCAATGAATTTAAACTCTAGAGTGACAATATTTTAGAATTTCGTTTAAAACATCAAAGAAAAACCCATAAAATCTAGATGTTAATCTGATAATGTAAATTATCATTAAAATAAAACCTTAATTTACAAGCAATTTTTGGGCCCGAATTGTAAGAAAATTATATAAAAAAGGTTTAAACAAAATGTCTGCTTTAATACTCAAAAGTTTTGTTTAAATTTCTAAGAATTTTTTAAAAAAATTTTTAAGGTTTTTTATGGGAAATAAAGAAAATTCTCTTAAAAAAACTTACAAAGAAAATGTTTGTTTAAATTTAAAAAGAATTTAAAATTAATTTTTGGAAATTTTAAAAAATTTATAAAATTTTTAAAAATTTTCAAATTTTTTTTATATTTTAAAAATTTTTTTTTAAATTTTTCATTTTGAAAATCTTTTGTTTTGTTTAAAACTCCAATTTTGTACAAAATTTTGTTGAAGTTTACTCTCTAATCATAGAAAAAACTTTAAAAGTTGATTTTTTAACAATTTTAATAACAAATTCCCTGATTTTACAAAATTTTTCAAATATTTTTAAAATTTTTTAAAATTTTAATTTTGAAAAACTTTTGTTTTGTTTAAAAATTCAAATTTTGTACAAAATTCTACTGATATTTTCTCTTTAATAATAGAAAAAACTTTAAAATTTGATTTTTTAACAATTTTAATAAAAATGTCCCTAATTTTACAAAATTTTAAATTTTGAGGTTAAAAGCGAATTTTCTTTAAATCTAGCTTTCTATGACTAGAAATGTTTTAAATCGTTTTAATCTGTATATAATTAATCCAAATTTTTATAAATTATTGAAAATTTTCCAAAAAAATTCAATATTTAAAAAAATTTTCTATTTGAGGTTAGAAACGAATTTTCTTTAAATTTTGCTTAAATTAATGGGAAATAAATTAAATTTGTTTAAATTAGAGATAAAAAGCTTAAATGAATAAAAATTTTCAAGAAATAATGTGTTTGGACTATTTTTTAAATTTGAGGTTAAAAACGAATTTTCTTTAAATTTGAGGTTAAAAACGATTTTTCTTTCAATTTTGTTTAAATTAATGGGAATTTGTTTAAATTTGTTTAAGTTTTAGATAAAAAGCATAAATGAATAAGAATTTTCAAGAAATAAGGAATTTTAAAGATTTTACAAATTTGAGATTAAAAACGATTTTTCTTTAAATTTGAGGTTAGAAACGATTTTTCTTTAAATTTAGTTTAAATTAATTGGAATTTGTTTAATTTGTTTAAAATTAAAGGAAATTGTTGAAATTTGGTAAATTAACAAATAAAAAGTAGATATAAATGAAAAATTTCAAGAAATAATGTGTTCGGACGATTTTTAATTTTAAGGTTAGAAACGATTTTTTCTTTAAATTGCAATATTTTAACTAAAAATGACTAAAATTTTATAAAATTTCCTTTAAAAAGCACAAATTTCAAAAAATTTTCAAAAAATAGTGAATTTTAAAGATTTTTCAAATTTAAGGTTAGAAACGATTTTTTTCTTTAAAATATAAAATTTTGACAAAAAATCGCACTGTTAACATAACTTAGTTAATAAAAAAAGCTTTAAAGCTGGCATGTTAAAGATCTTGTAATATTTTGTTCATTTTCTTTTAATTTTAAAACAAATTCTTTAAATTTTTGTTAAAATTTTCTTAACTAACACCTTTTTTTAATAAAAAAAATTCTTGGACTTAAATTTAAAGTAAATTCCTTAACAACAACAAATAATTTTTTCACTATTAATCATTCTCAAACGTATGTTAACTCATTTATCTTGAAAATAAAATTCATTCATTTCTCACTTTTCTCAAAAAGGAGCCTTTTTTAAAGAAACTCTTGTTGATCGTTAGCTTTGGTCTTAAAACAACAACAAACAATACTTGAAAGATCAAATGATAAGATCTTAAATCTAAATTAAAACAAAAAAAAAAAAAAAAAAACACAAGATAACATTTTTTTGTGTTAAAGCTTAGCAAAGAATTATTTTAAGAATTTTAAAGAAAAATTGCAAAAACAGAGAGAGTGAAATGATAAAAGTAACGCCCTTTTTTATGAAAAAAATTTCTGCAAAATCTTTACAACATGAGTCAACTTTCAACAGCAGACATAGTCACTTTAGTTAAACAATTTATTTAAACTATTAAAACGTGTTTATTATAAACAATTTGTTTATAATTTTTAAAACTATTTATTTAAAAAAAAACCACACACACCTTTATAGAAAAAAGTTTCATTGGATGACGCCAATTTTAATTTCCAAAGTCTTTTTTTTTTGCCATAATTATGTATGCTATTCAGGCATAAAATTACTTATAAAAATAAGGTTAATTTTTTTTTTATATTTATAAAAAAAAGAATTTATTTTTAATAAAAAAAAAAGAATTTTTTCTAACAAAAAAAATTTACGCATAAAAATATTGTTGTGTTGTTGAAGTTGATTATTTCAAAAGGTATTTGATAAATTTGTTTTTAGCCAATTTCGATTGACGTCGTATCTAGCAAAAAAAAAAAAACAATAGACAGACGCCAATTTAAAAAAAACAACAATATTTTGCATGATTTTTTTACAAAAATCACATAAAAAATTAACAATATACCAGCAGATGTTAGAGAAATTAATTTTGTTTTTATTTTTTATTTTTTTTGCAAGAAAAACAACAACAAAAACTTGTTCGTTTTTCTAAACACCCATAAAACTTTTAAGTGTTTATAGGAGAAGGACTTAGTCCAAAGAAAACATAAAAACACGCAGAAAATTGTTAAATTTGCCTAAAAATAAAGAAAGCTTTTAAAAAAAAAGCTTAAAGCTTTGTTAATTTTGGCAAGTTTTTTTAAAGCTGTCTTTAAAGGCTTTAAGAAAATATGGAAAAATCAGCTTTAAAGCTGTGAAATATGAAAAAGCTTTTTTAAAGCTTAAAGCTTTTTTGAAAAAAGTTTGTCTATTAAAACAAAATTTAATGTTAGTGTGTAAATATTAAAGAAAATGTAACAATTTCTTATAATTTTAAAGTAATCAGCGAAAGCTTTTTGCTAAAGCTTTAAGCTTTTTTAAAAAATTGTTTGAAAATTAAAGAAAATTGTATGTTTAATCTTTAAATTTAAAGAAAAGCTTTCTTAACAAGTTTTTATAAAATTTAAGAAAATGTCAAGGAAATTTGTTTAAACTAAACATATTTATAAAATGTTGATAATTTTTTAACAAATAAGCAAAAGCTTTTAAAAAAGCTTAAAGCTTTTTGATATTTTTTAAAGAAATTTAAAGGAAATGTTAAGAGAATCATGAAACCTTAAAGAAATCTTTGAAATTTGGCTAAATATTAGAAAAATTTAATTTAGAAAAATTAAAGCTTTTTTAAAGTTTTTTACGAAAATTACTAAAAAATGTTGAAAATTTTAAAATATGAAACAAAATTTATGTTTTTTTTATAAAAAAATTAAGGAACATGAAAAAGCTTTCTAAAAAGCTTTAAGCTTTTGAAAAAAATTTAAGGAATTTGAAAAAAAAAAATCTAGAAAAATTTGTTATTTTAAACTAAATTTGATTTAAAAAGAAGATTTTTGTAGAAACTATAAAAGCTTTGAGGAAAGCTTAAAGCTTTTTTAACCAAAATTTAAGGAATTTCAAAAATATTTGGGAAAAATGGATATTTTTAAATTAAATTTGATTTAAGAAGAAGATTTTTGTAAAAGAAAAAGTAAAAGCTTTTTTTTTAACAAACTTTAAAAAAATTTCAAATTTTTGTTATTTCGAATTTTGAAGAATTTTTTTATTTTTAAAGAAAGTTGAAAGTTTTTGAGGAAAATTTCTCTTAGTGTTGCTGTTTTTTACGTGTTTTCATTTTGTTTTAATAAATTATTTAAAATAAACTTTAGAAAAATTTATATATAAAATTGTCTGTCTGCTGGGCTAACTTTAACCGAAATATATATGTATGTATATATAAAATTTTTGCGAAAATTTTTGTCATTGAAAATATGGTGGACAATTTCACTGTGTGTGTGTCTCAGACTGAAATTTTTTTTTGCAGAAAATTATATTTTCGCTGCCCATAAAATTGGATGAAATATGTTTATTATGATCAAAAACGACAAAAATCTTTTATAAAAATTTTGCAAAAATACAAGAAGAAAAAAATTTGACTTAAATATATTAAAAAATATAAGTAAATTAAAAAAAAAGAACAAGCAAGTCCAAAAAATATATATATTCTTTTTATTTTGCTTAATCTAGCAGACAATTTATTTTTAAATGCTTGAAATATTTTATGATTTATGTAGCGATTATAAATTTTGAAATATACAATGAAATATACATGAAAATTTTGCAATTTTTCTTTTTGGTAAAAAAAAGGGATTTTAAATTATGAATGATTCATTCAAAAGATTTAAAGAAAACGAGAAAAGAAAGTGAAAGAATAACAATCAAAATAAATTACTTACCATTATTTTTATCGCCGGGACAGGTTTTACAACATTTACCGGGCAACAAGATGGGATCATCGCACAAGGCGGGCGGGCATTCATTTTTAATATTGCGACATTGAACACGAGCCACTATGCGGCGTTTTTTAGGAACCTGGAAGCACAAATTAAATATATAGAATCGTGTGAATTGAGTTTTTTTTATACATTTATATAGATTTTTTTTATAATTTTTTTTTTTTTTTTTTGCTTTTTTTACGACTGTCTGTTTTTTGCGAAAACCATTTGTTTTTCATAATTTTTAATTAACTCATAAATTTTTTTATAATTTATTAAAAAAATTATAAATGTTGTTGTTGGTGAAATTTGGCTATTATTAAAAAATTTTTTATTTCTAAAGATTTTAATTAGCAAAAAGCAACATTTTTATGAAAATTAAATTTTCAATAAAATTGAAAACTACTTAAAGAGTTTTTTAAAGATTTCAATTTGGCAGCTTTTTAAATTTTGTAAAGTTTTTTGAAATTTTTTAAAAAGTTTAAACTTTTTTTGAGGTTCAACTTGTTTTTGGCTCATAACTTTTACAATTTTTAACCCAAAAGTTGGAATTAAAGTTTTTTATAGTCTGCACAGTGGCCGATTTCTGAATTTTGTAAATTTTTTTTTTTGAGGTTAAAAACGTTTTTTCCCAATAACTTCTTTAATATTTAACCAAAAAGTTGGAATTAAAGTTTTTTGTTGTCTGCCCAGTGGCCAATTTCTAAATTTTGTAAAATTTTTAAAAGGTTTTTTTTTTTTTTTTTTTTTTTTTTTTTGAGGTTAAAACCGTTTTTTGTCAATAACTTTTATAATTTTTAACCAAAAAGTTGGAAGTAAAGTTTTTTGTTGTCTGTACACAGGCCGATTTCTAAATTTTGTAAAATTTTTAAAAAATTTAAAAGTTTTTTTTTTTTTTTTTTTTTTTTTTTGAGGTTACAATCACTTTTTTTGCGTAAAACTTGTTTAATTTTTCAGGGAAAAGTTAACTTTTTTGCTTACAAAAAAAAACTGGCTGCTTTCTATATTTAATAAAATAATTTTGAAAATTAGCAAAATTAGAATTTTTTAAATTTGAGGTTAGAAATGAAATTTTTAATAAAACTTTATTTTTAACATAAAAACTAATTAAAACTGAAATATTTTATAAAATTCTCACAAAAATGATTAATTAAAATAAGTTTTTAAAACATTTCCTTTAGACTTAAGTTAAATTTTTTGAAAAATTTTTAAAAAACAAAAAAGAAATTGAGAAAATTTTAAAAAAATATTACATGCTGGCTTAATATTTGAATGCATTTTTTTGATGGCCACTGAAAGGAGTATAGTCTATATATAAAAATAATCTTAATTAAAATTAAACCCAGAAGAAGAACACGACAAAAATAAAACGAAAAATAATACATTTAAAAAAAAAACGAAAACAAAAAAACACAGACAGAACAGACTAAAAAAAGACTTTATGGCGTCAATTAAATGTTTGTGTTATTTTTTTTCTTTGGCCATTTTTTTTTTATATTTACTTGAGTTTTCATTAAACTATAGAAATAATTTTTTTTTTGTTTTAAACGAGGCCAAAAACAAGACAAGTGTTATAAAAAAGCAAACGAAAAAATTTCTTTAAAAAAAATAAAAAGAAAATTAAAAATAATAAGTAATATTAACAAGACCCAAAAGTATATTTAATAAAACCTTTAAAAAAATTCCCTGATTTAATAGATTTATTGTTTAGTTTGCAAATATTTCTTTTTTAAATTTCAAAAAAAAAAAAAAAAAATAAAGAAAATTTCAAAAAAAAAAAAACATGTTTTTTCTTAAAAGACCTTTAAAAAGCTCATTAATCATTTCTCATTTTAACTAGAGAGAGAAAAAAACGCACAATTTGAAAAAAAGCAAAAAAAAAAACTAGAAAAAATATTATTAATAATTAATAATAAATAATGTTTTGATGTTTTTGTTTTTGAAAAACTTACCGCCACACATTCACATTTAATGCAATACATAACGCCAAATGGTGGTCCCAAATCGGCATACCAGGTCGAGCCCAATTCACGCAAAGTTTTGCCAAATTGACATTCGGAAACTGTAAGAAAAAAAAGAAAACAAAAAATATATAAATTACTATAAATTTTTCAATTAAAATTTATTAAAAAATAAATTAAATTTTTATTATTATTATTATTATTGTTGTTGTCTTTGTTCCATTAAATTTATAATTTAATGTTTATTTAACATTAACCTATTTTTTTTAAAGAAATATATAATTTATATTCTTAATTTTTCTTTAAGAAAAATTTTTTAAAATTTCTTGTTTGCTTATAATTTTGTATGTTTGTTTTAAAAATTATTGTATATAAATATTTTTATGTTAATATTTAATTTTCTAATCAACAACTTTATAAAAGCTCATAACAACCAACAACAATAATAATAATAATTTTCTGGCTTTAAGTGGTTAAAGAAAGAAAGATAAAGAAAAAAAATTTTTATATAAAAATAATAATAAAAAATATACATAATTTAATAATAAATATTCGCACGCAAAATATATATGGCGCCAAACTTAAATAAATATTAATGAGAATTAAAAAAGAAAAATAATTAAAGAAAACCACTAAACACAATTTCTTTAAAAAACATTTTTTGAAATTTTTTAAGTAATTTTTTTTTCTTTAAGAATTTGGCAATTTTCTTAATTTTAATAAATTCTTTCTAATTAAAATGTTAAATATTCTGTTACTTAAATAGTTTTCTTTAATTTGTTTAAAAAATTTTATTAAAATCCTAAAAATTAAACTAAATTTTAACAATTTTTCTTGTTAAAACTTTATTCAAACATTTGTTTTGAAATTTGTCCCAAATATTTGTTATTGTTTTTGTTTTTTCTAGCTTTATAATAAAATTTAGTTTTCCCTACTTAGTCCACATCGGTTGAAAACTAAGGGAATTCTATTAAAATTTCGTTATTAAACCTCTTTTTCAAAGTTTTGTTTTGAAATTTCCCAGATTTTGGTTAATTTTCTTTTAATCACTTTATTTTGAAACGTTTACTCTTTAGCTGAGTTAAAAAGTTTGTTTAAGAGAGAGAGCTTAAGCTTGTTTTCATTAACATTTAAGAAAAGAGTGAGTAAAAGAGAACGAGAGTGTAAAAGAGAATTTTTGTGATGATTTTGTCATTAAAGTTTATGCTTTAATAGAAGAGAGCTTAGGAGGTATTGCTTAAGTGTTGAATTTTAAGCTTTATAGTGTTGCTTAAGTGTTGAATTTTAAGCTTAAGTGTTGATTTTTAAGCTTAAGTGTTTGTTTCTAAACGTTTCAACAAAGATTTCTTTTGATTAAATGTTTTCTTATATTTCTCTAGCTTTATGTTTGGCTTACGCCATTTTCAAACTTTTACTCTTTTGCTGTAAAGAGAGAGAGAGCTTTAACTGTGAAATTTTCTTTTAAAGTGTGTTAAAGAGAGCGTTTGTGTAAAAGTGCAGTTTGCTATTGTTTACTCATAAATTTTGTCTTGGCTAATGGTTTTGATTAAAGTTAAAGCTGTTTTATTAGCAGAGAGCTTATGAGTATTGCTTAAGTGTTGTATTTGAAAGCTTAGGTGTTGCTTATTTTTTGCTTAAACGTTGTTTTATGCTAAACCAAAGATTTCTTTTGATTAAATTTTGTATTGCTGTATATGCTTATCAATATTATTAAGAGAGCGAAAGACAGAGGGAAAGAGATAGAGCTGGGGAGTGTTGCTTAGGTGTTGGTTTACTTGCTTAAATGTTGTTTTGAGATTTAAACTAGTGTTTAAGCTAGTTTAATGTTTTATTAAAGATTTCTTTTGATAAAATGTTTTATTTCTCGCTTGCTCCCTATTATTAAGAGAGTGAGAAAGAGAGAGAGCTTAAGAGTGTTGCTTAAGTGTTGTTTATTTTGCTTAATTGTTGTTTTCATATTTAAACTAGTGTTTAAACTAGTTTAATGTTTTATCAAAGATTTCTTTTGAATAAGTGAGAAAGGGCCTAGTTGTGTTGCTTAGGTGTTGTTTATTTTTGCTTACACGTAGTTTTAAGCTTGTATATAAGCTAGTTTAACGTTTTATCAAAGATTTCTTTGTATCAAATGCTGTTTTTCTTGGTTAAGCTGTATTATTAAGAGAGAAAGAGAGAGGTAGTTGCTTAAGTGTTTTCTTCTGCTTAAGTGTTATTTTAAGCCTTAACTTTTAGCTGGTTTAAAGTTTTACCCAAGATTTATATTATTTAAATGAGTACTTTTAAAGTTTTTAGTAAAATTTTCTTTAAAATTTATTTCATTTTTATTAAATTAATTAAAATATATGTTAATATTTAAATTAATTTAATAGCATTTAACTTTTTTCTTTAAATTAAATATAAACCAGTATTTAAATGAACTGACATTTTAAACATCTTTTAACATTGAATTATAAAACAAATAAATTTCATAAATAATTTAATATTATTATTATTACTATTATAAAAAAATTTTGTTTAATTAATAAACAAATAAATTATAATAAACGAGTAAAAGCAAAACTAAACAAATTATTTACAACTAAAATTGCGTATGTGAAAAAAAATTCTATTAATGTAAATTGTTTAGTTGAAGAATTTTGGCGCCAAAGAATTTTTATTTTACTTAAGCAGTTTGTTAATAATTTATAAATTTATTTTAATAAATATTTAACATATTTGGCTACTGTTTTGTTTTTGCTAAAATGCAGTTTAAACACCTACAAGTTTTTTTTTTTGTAATAAAGGCTTTTAATAGTTTAAGAGAATTTGTATAAGAAAAAAAATTATAGTTTATAATTGAGGTCGCCGACCGTTAGTATTTTTATTATAATTTTTTCAACACCTATTTTATATTTGTTCAAAGAAAAAATTATTTAAATTTTATTATTGTTGTTGTTTTGAAAGCAAAAAAAATTTAAATAAATATTTATTTAATATTGTTTATTTATGAATTGTTTACTATTTTTGTAGTCCATACAAATGAGAATTTTTTTTGCTATAAAATTGTAAATGAAAAAGGAAACTTGGTGACAGCTTTTTACAAAAAAAAATAATAAACATTTTTTCTTATAAACAACAATTTTAAAACGAAGAAAAAAAATTGCAAAATCAAACCTGAATGAAATTTTTAAAAAAATATTTAGAAATTTAAAAAAGGAAAATAAATTTAAAAGGAATTTACTAGAAAACAAATAAATAAAGAAAATTTTTAGAAAATCGAAAAAAATTTTAAAGAAAATTTTTAAAAATTTTTTTAACTAAAAAATCTTACAGGAAATTACAAATAATCATAACTCTTTTGCTCTCTATTTGGCTTATTTCATACCTACCTACCTCTTATTTAAAAGTGGCGTCTAACAGCCGCTGCTTTTAACTAGAAAACTTGAACGCGTAGGTTAAGTTTTCTTTTCTTTTTATAATTTTCTGTTAAAAAAAAAAAAAAAACACCAGAGAAAGAGCGAAGCAAAAAAAATCCAAAGCAATTTGATAAAATTGACACATTACTTTACATCAAACTTAAAACTAAAAAAAATATATACTTTTTTTAAATAGCTTGTGTAGGAATCTGCTAAATGCAATTTGGCGCCTCAATGGCTTGCAACGTAGGCTTAAAAAACATTAAAAGTTTTTTGTGAAAAAAATTTGTATTTAAATGTTTAAGTAAGCATTTCCGGCAGGAGGTTTTAGGTTTTCTTTTAAAGTTATATGATAACTTTTGCTAAGTAATTTTATAAGTTTTTTTTTTTGTAGAAATGTTGGGAAAAAGAAAACAAATTAATTTGTGTTTTTTTTTTGGCTAACTTAAGTGGCGCCATTTAATGTCAATGTGTCAAGTGTATAAGAAATATTTACAAAATCGTAATTAAGCGTAAGATAATTTTTAACATAACAATTTTCAAATAAAACCAAAAAAAAAAAAAAAAAAAAAATTTTTGGCAATTGTTATAAAAAAAGGTTTTTGTTTAAATTTTAGGCCGTAATTATAAAAATTTTCTTGCAATTTTCTAGGTTTTTGGTTAATTTTTAAAGATTTTTTTTTAAATTTATCGCATGAGAGGGAAAAATTTCTGAAATTTCCTTCAATTCAAAAGATTTTTTGATAAAAATTACCATTTTTTAATATTTTTATTAATTTTTTAAAGATTTTCTCAACAAAAATTGTTATGCTGCATTCACACGTATCAGCATTTTAACAAAAAATAGCGCTTGAACTCTAAAAAGTGGAAATGGAAATAATTTCTTTCATAATAATTTAAATTTATAAAAATTTTGTAAGATAAAGAAAAAACTTTAAGACAAAAACACAAAATACATGTTTTTCTCTCATATTTAATAGGTGTGAACATAGCAAAACAAAATTTCTTAAATTTCCTGCAATTTAAATGATCTTGTAATAAAATTTAAAAATATTTAACACTTTTATTATTTTTTTAAAAATTTTCTTAACAAAAATTGTTATGCTGCGTTCACACGTATCAAAATTTTAACAAAAAACAGCGCTTCACCCCTAAAAAGTGGAAATTGTGATTCTATTCTTTTGTTATATTTAAAATTTATAAAAATCTTGTAAGAGAAAGAAAAAACTTTAACACAAAAACGCAAAATTTATGTTTTTCTCTCATATTTAACATAGCATTACAATTCCTTTAATATTACCAAACAAAATTTCTTAAATTTCCTGCAATTTAAAAGATCTTGTGATAAAATTTAAAATTTACAAATATTTGTTAATATTTAAAAGATTTTCTTAACAAAAATTGTTATGCAGCGTTCACACGTATTAAAATTTTAACAAAAAACAGCGCTTGACCTCTAAAATGGGGAAATTGTGATTCTATTCTTTTAAATTTATAAAAATTTTGTAAGCTGAAGAAAAAACTTTAAGACAAAAAGGGAAAATACTTGATTTTCTTCAATATTTAATAGGTGTGAACATAGCATTACTATTTCTTTAATATTAATATTTTCTTTTTCTTCAAAAATTCAAAGAAATTCTTTAAAATTTTGTTTACATGTTTTTTTATTCAAACGAAAGCGGTAATTATAAAACGAATTCTTGTAAACT